AAATTAAACTCTTTATATGGCCACTTGCCAATCTTACACAGAATTTATATGAGGAACAAAAGAGTTAATAAATGTGAATGTGCTCTGTAACTTAGCAGGCACTATACACATGCTAATTATTATTATGCACAGTTACCATCACACCAAATGCTAACCTATTTCCAGCTATCTCTATCTCTAAATGTGTTTAGATATAGTAAGTTATAAACCAAAATAACTAAGGGTGATAGAGCATGATAAAAGCTTGGTACAATCATTAAAATAAATACAAGTGGACCAAAGTTTATTATTTCAGGATCCAGCCCTCTAAAGAAACTATCAGCCCTACAAATTGGATTCTAGAAGGAAATAAGCCTGAATTTACAGACCTAGAAGAGGAATAAAAAAAGGTAATCCAAAAATAAATAAAATCAGGTAGGCCAGTAAGAATTCTACTCCCAAATGAAAACCCAGCCTTGATACTAAGCAATGTCATTATTCTACAGGGAATTGTGGATTCTCTTTTCTTCTTTATCTTGACCCTCAGCCATTTCTTTGGTCTTTAGTACTCCTGAGACTTGGGAGAAGGAATTCCAGAAAGTTTCTTAATACAAGCTAATACAAGTCCTTCATTTCACAATTGGAATTAAGTTTTTAAATGCAGATGATGTGATAACACACACACTTAAAGCACATCAAACAGTGCACATCTGATATTGGAGCCTCAGGGCGGAGTGGTGTTCCCCTGGGAAGGAGTAGAGATGGTCCACACACTGGGGCCAGGGGGGGTGGGGAGTTAGGGCGGGATGGATGTATACTCGAAAAAAAACTGAGTTCCTGAAGATTGGAAGAAGGTGAAATCAGAACGTGAGGACTCAGTGAAGAGATATTTACACGTAATGTTCACAGCAACATTATTCACAAAAGTCAAAAGATGGAAGCAACCCAAGTGGTCATTGACAGATGGATAAACAGAGTGTGGTGTATGCACACAATGGAGTATTATTCAACCTTAAAAAGGAAGGAAATTCTGATGTATGCCATAATATAAATGAACCATGAAGTGATACAAGCCCTTCACAAAAGGAAAAATACAGAATCATTCCACTTAATATGAGGTAACTAGTGTAGTCAAATTCATAGAGACAGAAAGTAGAATGATGGTTTCCAGGAGCAGTGGGGAGGAGGGAGTTATTGTGTAAGGAGTTCAGAGTGTCAGTTTTGCAAGATAAAGAGTCCTGGAGATGGATGGTGGTGATGGTTGCACAACAGTGTGAATATATTTAATATCAATGAACTGTACCCTTAAAAATGGTTACAATGGTAAATGTTATGTGATGTGTATTTTACCACAGTTAAAAAAAAAAAAAACATTTTTTAACCAAACTAAAAGATCTTCTAGTTTTAATAAAGGAGAGAGGGAAGCAATCTGTCTTCTTTAGGACTATGCCTAGGCCTTGTCCTACTTTTTTCTGCCACCAAAGGGTTAAAAAAGGATTTTCTTTCAATTGCCTTTTTTTTTTAGAATAGTTTTAGGCTCAGGGCAAAATTAAGAGAAAGGTACAGTGATTTCCCATATTCCCCCCCAATCCCAACACACACACAGCGTCCCCCCAGTAACAAATCTCCCACCAGAGAGGTACATGAGTTACAAGTGATGAACCTCCACTGATGCTTCATAATCACCAAAGCCCATTTTACAGTATGATTCCCTCTGAATGTTGTATAGTCTGCGGGTTTGGAGGCAAATGTTTTTTCAATTATTCACATATATTAAATTATTTATGATAACTCCATTGCATTAGAACTCAAAATCCACAGAAGAGTATATTAAATGTGCACTGAAATAACAGAAATGTAAACATTTGCTACTCAAAGTGTGGGCTGGAGACCAGCAACACCAGTATCCCCTGGGGTTTTTAGAAAAGCAGAATCTCAGGCCCTTCCCCAGACCTACAGAAAATCAGAATCTGCATTTATCAAGATCCCCAGGTGACTGACTGTCCTTTCAAGTTTGGGAAGCACTGTTGTAAACTATCCATGACTACAAACTGAGCAAAAAATCATAATGTTTGACCGGTTGAGATGGAAGGAAAATGTGTCATTAAAGCTGCATTATTTTACTGTGAGTTAAATGGAGGAAAAGGTCCATGTTTTATTCTTCTCTGCATTCTTAAAAATAATGAAAGCCAATCCATTTATTGCCTTGAACATAGAAAATGCTTAAACTGAACCACAAGTTTGATTTGATATGTCGATGACAGTGTTCTTGGAAGATTCTACAGAATCAAACAGCTTTGATCAAAGTGAAATGATGAGAAGACACAACAAGCCAAGCACTGATATTGGAGTGGCTGATGGTAGGTTTGAAATCCCAAGAACTCATCATTATAGCAGAACGGATGCAGGATATAATAATATTTATATGATTTTAAGTACTGATCCTTATAAATGTTGAAGAAGAATAAAATTCTGGTCACTGGTGGGGGACCTGGGTGGCTCAGTCGGTTAAGCATCTGACTCTTGGTTTGGGCTCGGGTCATGATCTTAAGTTTCTGAGACAAGAGCCTTGTGTGGAGCCCCCCCTTGAGCCCCATGTCACGCCTGCATAGGGCTCCACGCTCAGTGGGGAGTCTGCTGCTTTCCCTCTGCCCTCCCCCACTCACATGCTGGCTCTCTCTCTCTCTCAAATAAAAATAAATAAATCTTTAAAAAAAATTCTGGTCACTGGTATGTGAGGAAAACCACTAATACCCACAACCAACTGGATTCACTTAACGGGACTAAAATGATAGAGGACAGAAAAGATGTCCCAAAATGTTCACTGAACACAAAAGGGAAAAAAACTGACCCATATAAGTATTTGAATTATTAAAATAGAGTAAGAAAGAGAGGAAATCCATGTTTGGATTAAGAAGGGCTTCTCCATGGGATTTTTTTTCCCCTTGGGATTTTTTTCCCATGGGCTTATTCTGATGTGTTTCCCACATCACCTCTGCGGTTCTTAGGTTGAACGCTAAGTTTACACTTCACACTGGACACAAAAACGTAAATTCCTGATAAGAAGATAAAAATTAACAACTATATAGATAAAACAAAGATGATTGGAGGAGCAGGAGGGGTGAATGAAGTTAGATTCTGTCCCAGACACCAGGGCATTCGTGGCTGGAAAACATATTTCCACTTAATGATGATAATCTCCGTCACTGTGAGCTCGGTCCTTTTTCATTTTCTTTCCCTCTGGCAAACTTCCATTTGCTCTGGCTTTTGCAATAGTAAGAATAAGTAAATTTGACTCAATCAAACCAAATATTATTTTACAAGAACAAACTGGAAATCAATCTAAGGCCTGGCTTGTTGTTTTTGAAATCAATTCTAATTTTAAGCAACAATTCAGAGAACCCCTGGAGGTTTACATGAGCTCATCAGTAGCAAAATCATTTTTAAGTAATTTTAAATGTTTTCCAGAGCAAGAAAGAAACTCTTTAAACTGCCAAACCTCTTGGCACACTCCACATGCCCCAATGAGTGGGTTTTTTTTTTTTTTTAAGATTTCATTTATTTATTTGACAAAGAGAGACACAGCGAGAGAGGGAATACAAGCGGGGGGGAGTGGGAGAGGAAGAAGCAGTCCTCCTGCTGAGCAGGGAGCCCGATGCGGGGCTCGATCCCAGGACCCCAGGATCACGACCTGAGCCGAAGGCAGACGCTTAACGACTGAGCCACCCAGGCACCCCCCAACGAGTGTTCTTGTTCCCCAAGTGAGAGGAGAATTGGAAGCGACAACTGACTCCATTGCAAAACTAAAGGTGGGATGTTTGGCTCCTGATTTTCTGGGTTGAAATGACATAAGGCATCTTAGAACTTCACTTGGGGTCCACAGATGAGGTCTTCAGAGATAAATTTAATACTGTCATAAATGTCTTACTCTCACTTTACCAATCACATAGAACAATAGTTATTAACATTTTATTGAGTAAAACTATAGGGTAATAATGAACTCAAAAATGGGGGGAGTGGGGTTAAGACTCAAGAAGTCAACCTCATGCTGTGATAAATATCTGCAGGCTTAGGCAACTGTCAGCTGAAGCAATTTGAATAGTGATTTTTGTTTAAAGCTACACTGAAAGCCTTTGGCACTGGTGACAATGTGGGAGCGTCAAGCTGATCCCCGCACACCAACGGGTCATGACTGTGCCCGCCTCTCAATGTCTGCTGTCACCAGTCCTTAGGAAACAGTGAAATAACAGAGCTGAGAGGAGTTCAACCATACACTCTCATGGTTTGAACCGACTGCACCTGACAAGTGAACCAGCTCTGTGACCCAATGCCACCTAGAAATCATAGAAAGTTCAACCTAGGAAGGAAGCTTGAGGCCCCAAATACACATCTCGTCAGGAAAGGAAACCAGGACTCAGAAAGCTAAAACACATCCGTCCCGAGAACTCAGGTCATCATCTAAATAAGATCCTAAACTTGATTTTCCCGCAAATTAATTCCCCTTTGTCCAATCACGTAAAATTATGATTCTAGAGACGTGCAAACCTGTTCTATGTTCTCCTTAAAGCTATTTTTGCCTCAGTCTTGAACAGCTAAATTTACATGCCCTCTAAAATGCAAAACTAAGGCACTATAAGGTATCTCCCGTGGCCCCCAGTGACCACTGAGAGCACTTGAAACTACACAGAATCACAGAAAAATACAGAATATATTTCATGGACACTGGTTTTTCATGTAGACAGAGATAACTAGGTGCTTCTGCAAATATTGGGTCTTTTAGAAGACAGTGTCAACTTTATTGCTTTTTGAAACGCTGTGTAAAGCACAGAACTTTACAGTTTGCACATAAGCAATTTCCATCTTTAAGTTTAAATATATTTATGGAAGAAAAAGTACATGCATATGAATAGATATAATTTTTTAAATCATCACCATTTACATTAGAAATTTCTTTATACAAACATCTTAGCTTTTTTCTTTAAAAAAAAAAAATTAGCAACTGGTAAGACCCCTCTGAGATGGCAGAAAATCCAGCTTTCTGTGTAAGCAGCCTTTCACTGAGAGATGTGAGTGATGGCAGATGAAGGCCTCTTAAGAATAGACTCAACAGAAAATGACAGCGGTTCATTCACAGAGAGTTTTGTTCCAACTTGTTTGGCTACGAAAAGGTCTTTGGCATATCTGTCTATTGTAAATGTGTACTTCTGGTTCTCCTTGACTAAACACTCTCTGTGTTTCTTAGGGCCCTCTTCAAAGGCCTCTTTGACAAATGGTGTTTTCAACCCAGGACCTGATTTGTCATTCAGAGTTTGCTGGAATAATGAGTGGAATGGATTATGTTTAAGTGGCAGAGGGTGCCTGGTGCTTTCTTTGCTGATCTTGGTTAAGATGTGCCCTTGAGCTGCCAGGGAGTCCGAGTCAACAATGGGAGAGAAATTCCGTCTGGGTGGGGAGAATGCAGACCTCTCGGGGACAGCCTGGTGACCCTGAAGGTCACCTCTTGCGGTCGGGACCTCCGGAGCGTGAGGCAGAAGCAGCGAGCCTTCTAGTTTGGGGGGCATCACGTCATGTTCTGCCACAAGTCCATCCTGGACTTGCACCCCCTTCAAGTCCCAGCTGGCCCCAGGCTTCAGGGCTTGAACCGAAGTGGTGGTGTTTAGCAGGCACTGCTGATAGAGAAGAGTGTCACTGATGGGGCCACACTTGGGCCAAACTAAAAATCTCGAGGACAAGGGATACTGTCTGTAAGTCGTGGCCACACTGACATTGGAAGAAATGAGTTCCATATTCCCAGACCCTGAATACTGCATGGTTAGATCAAGGCAGGTGGGCAGAAAATTGCAGAAGTCTTTGTTTGGCGGTTCCACTGGGGTGGGGCTATAGGCGCTTTTGTAGGAGTTATATTCAGGTCCGTGCACCATGCGGTTGGGCAGGAACAAGGCAGCAGCTTGGGATGCTTCCAACATCTCCCTCTCTTTATATTCTCTCTCCAGCATAATGTTCTCCAACTCTTTATCAGCAAAGGCCCGCCTTTTCCGCATCCGGTCACTTACTGGGGGAGGTAGGGGTAAGCTCCCTCCCACGTAAGTCTCGGCTGGAATGGGGCGGTAGCCTAAAATAAGCAAGCATCGCACAGGAAAAGAGATTAACATCTAGGGAAGACAAATCTGGAAACCGAGAAGGCAACAGAAACACTGCAAGTCAGCAGAACAAGAACAATTCACAGTTCCAAAACATTCATTTTTTATACAGAAAGCAAAAGTATAGGCTAGGTTTAAAATGGGTCTCTTTGGGGAGCAGGAGAGCCATATTGTAACTTTCTGTTATTGTTGTTTCGTCATTAGGGGTGTGTTTGTTTACCTTTACAGGCAAACTTCACTGGTTGAAAATGTAATACACTTCCCAGGCTCCTACACATTAAGAGACAAATCTGCTCATCTTGCTTCAGTCAACGCTTTCTCACTATCCGTGTCATCTTTCTTCATTTTTAAAAGAGATCTCTATTCCTAAAGCTGATGGCATGGCTATTTTCTAAAGATGGTTCATTATATACACATTGTTACAGGTGTAGAAAAATCCAAGAAGAACTAGGGAAAAAGGGAAAGTTACAGCAGATTAGTGGGGAGAAAAAGAGAAGAGAGACTTAAGGAAACAGAGAAACACAGAAAATTGAAAAGAGCTGTTAACTAGTCCAACAGACTCTGCCGTGATTTAACCAGGCCCTCCCCCAGGCTGGAGGTGGGAACAAGCAAACAACAGTAAAGGCAGAGGAGAGGAGACCAGCAGCTATATTGAAAAGAACTGATCTAAAACATTTTTCCCAAATTCTGATCATGTTGGCCAGATACCAAAATGGTTGAACAAGCAAACATTACAATATAAAGTCAGTGCACATTTTATGAATAAGGACAAAGTTAAAAAAAAAAAAAAAAACGACGACAATTAGCATGGCATAAATAGAATTCCTGGCAGCATAAAATACTTTGAGTATTTCACTAATGCCAAGCACTGGCTGCTCTCAAATTTGTTTGAAGAATCCATTGTGATGTTTGTGTTTACATAGTGACAAACCCATCGTCCTCATTTGCAAATAAAATAAAATTTGAAAATTAATGTTTCCAGGTCTATGGTAGGTTTTGCCAGGATGTTATTTACTTGAATTTACTCTTCCATTTAGCCCTCCCACTCCTCAGGGTTGCTTTGGCACCGTTTCAATCTATCCGTGTGGTCCCTATGGCTATAAATCTGTTTACCCAGTTTGCAACCAAATTCATTAACATGAGAAACCATTCTAAGGTCAGAAGTATACAGGACAGGGTGAGACTATGAACAAGCTTTAAAACCTGTGTAGAACCAACGCAATTCAGAAGCCACATAAAAAAAAAAAAAAAAACGGAATTCAAATATCTACTTAAAACAAAAAAACAAAAAAACCTGCTGTTCAACCTGAATCTTATGAAGGGACAGTGATTAGAACAAATATAAATTTTCCTTTATTTACATTGTGAAAGGTGACCAATGTATTATTTATCAGACCAATAGATAAATCCCATCGCCAGTGTTGCTTTTAAAAATCAGCAATATTTTAAGAAAAATTCATGTATCTCCAGGCTTTAGAGAAAATGAAAACATGGTAGAGAGACAGAATTCACGCTGTTCAAATTCAACGTCAACCTCCACTTCTCTCCTGTGATTCAAAACCTCTTCCAGATTCTACAATCTTGACTGTCAGAAATGGTAAACTGAGATGTGAATAACCACAATTATGTAGCTAATCCACGGAGGAATACAGTACCATGAAAAAGAGTGGTATTAGAGGTTGGATCAGCCAGACTAGAGGTCTTTATCAGTGTGGGTAGCTGTTCACCTCCTTATTTGACTTATTCTAGATCCAAGGACAACCAAAGAATTTTTTTAAAATTTATTTCCTGGGGCGCCTGGGTGGCTCAGGCCTTAAGCGTCTGCCTTGGGCTCAGGTCCTGATCCCAGGGTCCTGGGATCGAGCCAAGCCCCTCCTCGGGCTCCCTGCTCAGCGGGAAGCCTGCTTCTCCCTCTCACACTCCCCCTGCCTGTGTTCCCTCTCTCACTATGTCTGTCTCTGTCAATAAATAAACAAAATCTTTTTTAAAAAAATGTATTTCCTTCTTCACGATCAGGTGGCAGTGGATCTTTGCACATCCCTCATGCTAGGGCAAATTTCAAATGCACTCCATGTTAACCCCTTAACTATTAAGCAGACAACAACTATTAAGCAGACAGCAGAATTATCGGTGACGAAAACCTCAGGAGGTATGTGAGATCCATTTTCCCACATACTGATTTCTTCCCCAGAGCAAAACTTCCTAATAAAAAGCACCCTCCCCTCAGACTGCTCCTTCACAGGTTAATAAAAATGCCATATGTGTGAATAATGGGAATCCCTCAGAACTTGGTTTAAAAGGCTGAAGGATAATTCTGCATTGCTTTACCTTCTAAAATGCTTTTGGCCAGCAAACTGGGTGCCCTGACTTGCCTCTGATACACAGCTTTGCGCTCGAAATTATTCTGCTTCCCAGAAAGCCCCTTCTTGTCCTGTAAATACAAGAAACAAAATCAACAATGCTCTAAAAGAAATTGTGGGACAGGAAGGAGTAGGAAGGGTTATCAGCAACCCCCCCAAATGTATTTATTTTCCCAACCCATGTCAAAAAATGACTCTAAACAAATTTACACCAGCACCCCTTAATTCCTGGGCAACAAGCTGGAAGCTCTGTCTGAAGCCGCCAACTTCAGTTGATGGGGAGTGGGGCAGATTTTCTCTAGGGCCACTTTGCTAGAGTCACCCCAGATTCATCCCGCAGCCAGAAGTTAGGGGACATCCCACAGGAAGGCAAAATCCACAGCGGAGACCATAGGAGCCAGGCCCCGAAGGAGAGCCGTGGAGGATAACTGTGTCCCAGGCACCCAGACGTAGGGCCAAAGGTGCCCATGGCCTGCCACTGAGCAGTGAGGTGGAGCTGGTTTCTTCTCGCAGTAGGGCAGGTGCGATGGGGCGCAGGGGGTTGAAGGAGAAGTATGAGGGTACCGGTCTCACAAACTCTCCCGAGCCTGGCCCAAAACACTGGGAGACTGGGATACAGGCAGGCTAGCAAAACCCTCACAGGTCTCCTGGGACAGAGAAACAAGGGGAAACCCGACTTGGCTCCCTCCCTCACCGCCAGGTCCGTGGTATTCTGGGCCCTTCCACGCCCGCGAGGGACCCAGGAGACCGCGGCGAAACGCACCGCAGGCGGGAGCAGGCCCAGCCCAGGGCCAAGGCCACCTGGGGCATCTAGCGCACACTCTCCCGGGCCTTGGGAAATTTTCCAGTAGGGTCCCTGCCTTCTGTGTGTATGGTGATCCACTCCCCACTCCCTCCTCGCCAAAAAGTAAAAGCAAAAACCTTCCCATGCCCTGAATCTGGGAGAAGGGACCCCGCGCAGCCTCCCTCGCTCTGAGCTCTCCGTGCGCAGGAACACAAGGAAACGCGAAATCCTAAATTCAAGAAGAGCCTCACCCTTAAAGAAAACCCTGGCTCTCACAACTGGAGCCCCACGGTGCGAGGCAGCAGGGAGCCCTCCACCGGCTCAAAGATCAGAAGCTTCTGGCTTCATGGCCTTGGGCTGCAGGCACCTAACGTCCCAGGCCGTTTTGGTCTCATCTGTAAAATGGGCAGCACGTTCTGCCTCTCTTAAGTGGGCCGCGACAGCCGAAGCGCGGAGCGCACACCCCGCTGCGTGGTTCTTTGCCCGAGGTCCCGCACTAGAACACAGCGATGGACGACAGAAGTGGTGCACTGCGGCAACCGCTGTTCTCCTCCTGCCCCCAGCACCACCAAAATAAACTTTAACATATAAAAGATTAAAAGAAAAAACGTCTTTCCCACAAAGTTCCGAGCCACTTTCAGGGCCTCTCCGCCTGCTTTTCTTTTCGGCCAAGCTCCCCCGGCGATGCCCGCGGCCTCCACTCCACCCCGCCCCGACTCCGCAGGCCACGGTGAGGAGAGAAGCGTCCTGACCACCCTTCCCTGCAAGCGCCTGGCGCCGCGGCCCTGGGCCCGGGGCCCGGGAGCGGCCGCGTCCCTCCCCGCGCCCGACCCCCACGGCGGCCCGGGTCTCCCGGCGAGGCGCGACCCGGGGCCCGGCGGGTACGCACCTCGGTGGCCTGCTGCCTCCGGAGCGCCACCTGGGCGGCCATGACGCGCTGGCGCTCCACCACCAGCAGGCAGTTGGCGCACTGGCAGTCGCGCCAGCGGCAGAAGCGCTTGTGGCCCTTGAGGCAGGACACCACGCCGTGGTTGCGGCAGCGCGCGCACTTCGGGGTGCGGCTGAGCTTGCGCGGCTCCGCGCCGCCGCCCGCGTTCGCGCCGCGCTCCGGCGGCCCGGCCTGCGGCGGCGAGGCCCGCGGCGCGGGGGTTGGCCCCGGCGGTGGTCCCCGCTGCTGCCCCGGCCGGCCCGGCGCCCCGGGGGACGCGCCCGCGTCCAGGCCGTCGCCCTCGTCCTCCGCGTCGTCGTCGTCGTCCTCGTCCTCCTCGTCTTCGCCGTCCCCGTCGGCCGACGGCGGGCTGGGCCCGGGCGGCGTAGGCGGCGGCGGCCCGCGGCCGTCCTCCTCCAGCTCCAGGCTCTCCACGTCGATCTCCCAGTCTCCGGCCGCCGGGCCCGCTGCCGGCCGGCCTGCCATGGCGCACTGCTTCTCGCTCCGGCCTACGCTCAGTCTCCTGCGCTCTGCGGAGACACCAAAGACCCCAAGACGCACCCACCGCCGTCAGGCACCGACCCCCGGCCTTGGGCCCCAAGCTCCTGGTCTGTCGCCCCTGGCCCCTTGAGGAGCCCGGTCTCTACACGTCCCTCACATCTGCACCACAGTGCCTTTCTTGTATCTTTAGGGTCCCCAGAAATCCCCAACCCAACAAGGGTTTTATCTATTGATTCTAAGTGCTCTATGAGCACCTGACCTTTAACCACAGACCTCTCTGGCTTTACACCCGCTTCTGGGACAAGTCCCTAGGTAACGCACGGCTCTCACACACAAAAGTATTGTGTCCAACTAGACCGGCCTAGGCTACTTGTCAGGCTTCCCCACACCCAACTAGCAAGGCCATGATGAATAGGAAAACGTCGATGGGAGAGTCATTTTCCTTTAGATCACAGGGGCCTTTCAGACCCAGCGAAGTACCATCCTACGCCTCTCAAGCGTCTTTCATCCTCTTACACCACCACGAGGACCCCTTTTTGAGCTTGGAAAGCTCCTTTCATGCCCCCCAACCCCAGCAAATAATCAACTGAAAACCAGAATTTTTCTCCTGTCAGAGCCCCATAAGGACACTGGGCATGGAGCTGCAGATGTCCTTCCAGCCTCAGTAGTGCTTGAGCCGCGCAGGGCTGAGCTGCACGGTCTCCGTATACATCGGGCAGGGTTTGCACTTAAAGGCAAGACATGCAAGTAAAATAGAAAAGATAAGAAAAGGTGATTTTGCCCTCCCTGACACCCGGAACAACATCACAGCACTCACCAAGACTCTGAGGCCCAAGCTAGCGGCCGAGGCAAAAAGATATCCAGCCTTGGGACCTGGCTCTTGGGCTGCTGGCTGTGCTTGCAAAAAGAAATCGGGGTCGCCACACCCTGCCACGAAATCTGGGGCTGATAGCTGGAGGCCTGGAGCCCAGTGGATGGGGAGTAGGGGAGAAGGGTGGAGAAGATGAATCAAGTCCTCAGCGGCCTCGCCCCGCACATCCCGGACTCTGCAAAGTTCTAATCGGTCCCTTGCCCCGGGCGCTTCACCTCGCTGAAGCTGCTTTCGGCTTCCTCGGACCCAGTCTGGGCGGGAAGGTTGGGCCGCCCTGGCCTGGCTCAGATCTCGGGCTCTCGGGGCGGGCGGGTGCACGCAGTAGCGTGCGGCGCAGCGCCCCTGGCTGCAATAGCCAGCCTCTGCTCCCTTTCCTAGTATTATCGGCTCTGGGCCCCGAGCTCCGCGCCCTCTAATTGGACGGTTGTCAGGCGGTGTGCACGCTGATTGGCCGAGGCGCGCCGGCCTGGTGCTCTCCGCCCCCTCGCGGCCGTCGCGCCCCTCCCTTCCGCGCTCCTTCCGAAAATCCTCCCGCGCAGCGTTCGGTGCAGCGGGGTCGTCTGTCCCAACGTTAAACCCGAAGTGTGACAGCGTCTGCTGGGGTGAAGTCGCCATTTATCTCGCGGACTATAGGAAACAAGCAGAAACATCCTCTTAACGAATCGCGCTGTTCACAAGAGAAGGTAATGGTCAAGGCAGCTGTCAGAAAGACTGGTGTTGGTCTCTACGTTATCAGCATCTCCGGTATTTCCGCGACTCAATAACCCAAACTTGGGCGCGGAAGTGGGGCCTCTCTGATCGGGGGCACAGCGGCATCCTACTTTCTCCTGCAAGACTAAATCAGTGGTTACCTGGCACCACCAGAGCGCCAGGTTGACGGACAAATGATCTGTAGATATTTTTGTGCCTAGCGCCCCTCATCCTTGAAATGCAAAGTAGTTCCTCATTAACTTTCATCAACCCCGCGAGGCAGGCAGGTCGCCAAGTCACCCACGTCACTTACGTTTCTCTCCGATGTCAATTACTGTTAGTTGATGGGGGGGGACGGAAATACATGCCATTAAGAGATTTAGGTGCAATATATTCACTCTAAGCATGTTTTTAAACGAAGCTTTTTTTTTTTTTAAGGATGACTTTTTTAGTGTGCATGGACGTATTTATAAAGAGAAAGACTTTCTACCGTCTGCATCAGAAATCCCTTACGCAAATGTTTAATAACAGTTAAGTTTTCAACAGGTTGAATTAGTCCCCTATTTCAACGTTACATTTTATTTCTTGAAAATCACTTAGACGCATTTCTAGTAACACCGTTAAATAATCAGTGCCTCTCGGATCGGTTTAGGAGAGATTGGGAAATTGAGTGCCACTGCACTGAGCACATAGTAGGCCTGCGATAAATATGTGTTAAAAGAAGGAAATTGCTGAACTGGTTCTAACGTCTCTTTTCTCGGAGCCCATGGAAAGAAGTTAACCAAGTTCTGAGCAGTGGAAAGGGGGCAGTGTAGGGATTACTGTGAAAGTAACGAGATCGGCCGGCGGGACGCGCAGGTATTCTCAAGCCTTTGGCAGAGTTGCAAAGCTCTTTCCTGGTAACCAGACACTGGGATTTCCCTTCGTGCGGGTGCTTCTCCCCGGAGCCTCTCGCGATGTCCAGCGGAGGAAGCACAGAAACAGTCCTAATTATTGCGGTAAGCGGCTGCTCAGTTGCTCTGGGCGTCTCAGAAGGTAAATTGGAAGCTGTGCACGCTCAGACACGGGACAAAGCGTCACGCAGACCCTTCGTGCCTCTCGCTTGGCCCCACTAATAACACCAGTGATTTTTCTTACCTTTTTCGTAGTTTCTTATACTCGTCGAGGTGCATTTGTTCACCTACGTTAGAGCGTTTGGATTCTCAACCACAGCAGAAATGTGTTATTTTCCCCATTTTTTCCCAAAGACGACACTGAGGTTCAAAGAGGAGCCCTGGGTCACGCAGTGGTCGCTGGGAGAGCAATGGACTGGTCGGCCCCTTCTCTGAAGTCTCAGAAACTTCGCTCCCAACCACAAAGACTCACAATGGGTCCCCATTTTTTTTTTAAATTTTATTCCCAGGCTCCCCGTCTGATTTTTGTACCTGGCGTTATGAGCAACCCTCCTGTAACAGGACACAACACGTTTGTATCAACTCTTCTGCGTCTATTCTTCCAGCTACATTTCTGCTTTTGCAAACACGCATTTCAGTGCTTCTCCCCTGCGACGTGAAAGTGAACGACAAACCTCTACCAGGGCTGGCCGCGTGTGCGCATGGTTGTCACCCTGGGCTTTTATTTCATTTATTGCTTTTGCGGGGGAAGATATGAAATCATTAGCCCTTCACTAGTTATTCTGAATATTAAGAAACAAAATCAAGAAAGTAGGTTGGCTAGTGTGGGGTAATAGATTGAGGGGAAGGGGAACCGGGAAGGAACGGGAGGGCAAAGGGGCACTGAGTGGCAATTTCCTAAACAGAAAATAAACCAGACAGCCAGCCCTTGAACTAGTTGGAGTTGTAAAAGCTGCTACAAAGGAGGAAACAAGAGGGATTTGTGTACAGTAAACCATGCGGTCAAAACTAGGGCAGGAGATGGGGGCTGGGGGTGTGGGAGGTAGTAGAACCCAAGGACAGTGGTGCCGGCTCCTGGGACTCAGAGCAAACCGAGAGAGCAAGGTCCTGAGAACGTGGGTCGTCGGCTGGACCGGCCTCTCCTGCCGGGACGCGGGGAAGGCGGCGTTCTCCCGCTTGCCAAGGGGATTGGGCCCGCAGATTTCAGGTGGGTGGGCCCAGAGCCGCTCCCTTCTCAGCACTCCCCCACCCCTAGCAGAAACCGACAAGACAGCCCCACTGCTTCCTCCATACCTCCCAGCCCAACTCCGCCGGTCCCCCTCTACCCCACCCCCCACCTGTCCTACCACCTTCCCGGCACACCATCTGCCACTGGGAGGCCTGCAGCTGTAATCCCGATCCAGTTGAATTACACTGCATTCCCTGGCCCCGAATGCCCCCCTGAGTATCACAATTCCAACAATCGCTTAGAAGTGAGGTATGTGGGAAGGGAGTGGGGAAAGGGCTGTTTTTATCTTGGGGTGAACTTCAGGAAGTCTGAGGAACTCCGATATTAAACAAGAAATTATCTCCATTTTTCTGGGGAAATGAAAAAGGAATGAATCTAAGGTTACACAAACTTATTTAAACTTGCAGAAGCCAAAGGAGTCAGAGAGCCTGGGCTGTAGACGTCTTGTTCCACTGACCACGTGATCTCGGTCAATTCTATTTCTGCGCCTCAGTGGTCTCATCTGCCCGATGGGAAGAGTGGCCTTCCTCCGTGTAGTCTTCACTTCGTAGGAACTGTTCAACGAACGTTCGTTGGTTGATCGGCCAACGGCCCGTCCCCCGCAAGCCTCGAAAGCTCGACCAAAAGGCGAGGGCGCAGAGAGTCCAGGTCCTTTCTCCGGGTTCTTCTCTAAAAAGGAGTCAGGCCATGAGTTGAGGACCTGTTAGGTGAGGAAACAGAAGGCCTTTGCCTGGTAAACCGACACCAAATTACCAAGTGCTAGTCCGAGTCCCTCTTGTAAATGACAAAGCAGCCGGGCCGCCTTGACTCTGCGGGTCTGGCTTGGTGGGGGAGGCCCGTGGAATCTCCTCTCAAGCTGCTCAGCGCCTATCTCTCTTCCTTCGCCTCCTACCTCCAAATCTCTCTCACCCTAGCCGCCGCCCCCCGTTCCCGTACAGCTCGTACCTACCCGCTTCGAAGACCCCCTTTTCCAAGTCCAGCAGGGGAACTTGAACAACAACGCGGAAGGGGGAAGGGGTCTTTTTCTTCTTGTTCTTGATAAAGGTGTCTTTCTTTTTTTCTTCAAATACCCCTCCAAAAAGAAAAAGAAGAAAGAAAGAAAGAAAAAGAGGGCAGCGTGTTTCGGATCAGCTCCCGCTCACGCGTGCATCCACTGCGGCGCACCCCGCTGGCCTGCCCGCGCCCCGCCCGCTGCACGCAGTGCCTCCCGCCCGCGTGGCCACGCCGGCTTCGGTGCGACTCGAGGGCGTTTGGCTTCCCCCCCCCCCCCCCCCCCGGCTTGGCCGGCCACCTCTCGCCGGGT